AAAGTCAAGAAGATGCCTGCTAAGCCGGACGAAGTCGCTGTGGTTATAGATGAAGCGAAACCTAAAGAGGAGGTTAAGCCCGAAGAGGAAACAAAGCTTCAACAGAAGGCAAAGTCGAAGGATGAAATTAAGCGAAAACAGATCAAATCTGAAGAAGAAGGGAATCCGAAGGAGGGAATTAAGGCAGAAGAAGAAGTAAGGGCAGGTCAGGATGAGAAGCGGAAAGATGAAGTCAAGCCAAAGAAGGGTAGAGCTAAAGAGGAATCGAAGCCGGTGGACGAAATTAGGCCAAAAGAGGAAGCAAAGCCCCAAGAGAAAGTGAAGGAGATGGATGAGTTGAAATTAGAAGAAAAGGCAGTTCCTCAATACAAATCATTAAGTGAAGGAGTTACAGCTTCTTTCGAATTTAATCTTCGATTATCTGCGCAATCATGTTGTATAACTGTTCGCGATAAGTGCCTTGAAAACCTTGTAAGGAGTGTTCCTGAGCCTGTTTTCCGTGAAGTATTTTGCAACGTATCGCTGGTAAAACAGAGAACGGAGAAAGTAGGTATCAGTGCAATATATGAAAGGAGAACTGATGATAGGAAGCCTCAGATGGAAAATGATGACAATAGTGAGTTAGTGTACTTTTAAATCTGTTTGCATTGTACTTGAACATGCTTTGTATCTAAGCGACATTTTCCAGTCACTATGGTTGATGTTGTGGAGGAGGCACGTATTAAGTCAATTAAGAAGAAAAGAAAGAAGCAGAAAAAACGAGAGAAAGTGGAAATTAAGGTCACACCTTTCGACGAGTGCGATACTAATGAAGTTTCTCGAGCTCCGCCTAAAGCAGAGCTTCTTGAGATAAATGTCTCTAGGAAAAGGACCATATCAGGTATATCTCAGTTACTTAGAACTGGAATACTATCGCGCTCATTTTGTATTAGTTTATCACTTTCCTCGGCATTGGCGGTAGTTTTGTGATAAGGTGCTTAAATAATAGCGAAATTGGTAAGCTGTTTCTAATGTTCTCTCATATTCTTGTGCTATTGTGTGAGTTAAAACTCCGATTTGATGCGAATCGTGACAACGTTTATTTTTCTAGAGATTTGTATTCGTGTGATTAGACAAATTCCGGCTCAGTAGTTTCCCGAAGGCAAATTCATAAATTCCAGAGTGCTCCCCTCTTCCCAAATGTAGTAATATTTTTCTTTAATTGGAAATGGGTTCTTAGCATTGTATTGCGACAATATTTGCGAAGTACCTGTTAGCTCGTGTACTCCTATCCGGTCTTTTAATAGAAACACCGTTTCTTCTTAGCCAATGTAATGGTGAACTCCTCTGCGTATTATATTTCATGAATGAATGAGCTCCTCTACGTATTATATGTCACAATTCAACATCTCTATTGCTATTTTTTGGTGGTGAACCACGGAGTACGGTAAGTAGATAATAGCAGATCGAGAACTCCAAATTTATTGTGCTCTCAGTTCTTCTTGCACGGAATTCAGGTTAATGTAAATGGTGAGCCTTATATCTACTCTTCAGTTATAATCTGTTTCTATTCTCTAGGGACCAACGACATTTTCGTGGACCTTGATATAGAAGCTGGCGAGGAAGCGTGCAAAACGGACGCACTCATTGATCTGAACTTCTATGATTACGATGAGATGGAAATTAGTATTTGCGAACTTGAACCAGAAATCATAGAAGTAGATGTACTTCTGGACTCCATGGATGAAGAAGATGGTGTGGACGCCTTTCCTTTGATAAACACTGCTAAGGTGAGCAATATTTTAAAAATATTTCTCACATGGGCATCTCACCATTCGCTTGTCATTGATGTGTTAATATTATTTTCCATTAAGTAGTATTCTTCATGAGCTGATCCGCAACTGATATACAATGCTTATTCGGTCATAATTGGCATTTTCCCCTGCTTAAGCCTACAGCAAGTGTAATGCAATGGCTAGAGGTCTCTTATTCCTGATTCGGCAAATTCGAATCACGTATGTATGAGGTGGTGAAAAAAACACGTTACTCATCTCTGGTCCACCACATGTCATTGTAGAAGCTGCATAAACATTTAAAATATGAACCTCAACGATGCTACGAATGGGGTCCACGGTGAATCCCTAATGGATTGATTAGAGCCAAACGCTGTGTCCTTCGACCGCTAAGTTGGGTTTTGTAGCAATAATATGCAGGTTTCTTGACTAAATTGTTGTTTTACTTTCACAATAGAACTCTTAATCTGGGAATACAATCATCGTAATAAGTTTCATTAAATGTATGCAAAAAAAGGAAAAGGCGCGCCATGCACCCGATTTGATTGAACATCGTTAAAGGTGACTGAATGCATACATGGTCTGTTGAATGACTCACGGTAGTCTATCGATGTACCAAATCAGTCCTCTATGGTCAGCACGGGACACGAGGTAGAATCAAAGACCATGTGTGTATTACAGGGTACCCGTAACCACTGCGCTACATGCGCTCTCACTACATGCAAAAATTACGCAATTATTTTTGTATTAGTTGGTTCTGCCAACCTCACATAACATTTTATCATGGGAAAGTCTTCGAAATACGTTCCTAAATCCCTTCACTCAATCAAAAATGAACGTTCATCTTTTTCGTTCTCTAGCCTCGACTTATATGCTATGCGATTATACAAGCATTAGCTGCTCATCCATTTTATTTTCTATGAAAAACATCACAAAACAGCTGTCTGTGTATCGACAGTAGGATAGTGTTTACTTTCAAAAATAAGGAATGTGCCAAATTTGATGGAAATCGTCGTTCCATTGCCGACCATCTAATACATAAAATATTTCCCACACCATCTAGGAAGTGAAAATTTGTGCAAATTCCTTTTTTGAACTGTTGAGTACATCAGAAATGGATAACTAAAACCCCTTGGTATTTTACGGAAATCCCGTAAAAGACTAGTATTTGAGAGTTTGTCGCCTGAGCACATAATGCTGAAGTGCTCTAACCGATTCGACTTTTTAAAGATGACGTGATATAAAAATACGGATGCATTCTTTTGTGGGAACGCTTACGAAAAAAAGACCGAACCTTAGGCGTATAGCCTAATGCAGGACGCGTTTGATCGAGTGAGCTTCAGGTCAACACCACCGTTTCAGACATGAAAGAAGGGTAATTCATCGAAGCGGTAATGCAGGTCATATAAATATTGAATGACACCCTTGTGTTTCTTTATTAAGCATCATGAAATTAGTATATGGTTATATTGCAACACTTTAGTAAATAAGTGGTGAATCACGTAATAGCAAGTATTTCGATTTCAAGGTTCTCACAACCGTGCACATATCTTCTGAAGATACTTCAATTTCTCGCCTTATTGAAGAACATAAGCTCCCATGTGCTGAACAAGTCGAAGTATGCCTTGAAAGTGGAATTACCAAAGTGCACGCACGCAAGACGGTTAAGATGAAGCAGAGAATAAAAGAAAAAGGTTGGTTTAAAGTATGAGAAATTCTCATCACCTTAATCGGTAGCGATATTCAACGATATTAGAAAAGTTTTTTTTACCCCATGAGATTCTAAAGATGCACTTTTTCAGATACTAAGGCTGATGAAATCACTGACGATGAGCAACAAATAATCGAGCATCCAAAATCAGTAGAACTTTCCAATCTAAACGAAACAGTCACTCTTACTTGTTCAACTACATTACCAATCAAAACCGCATCATGGTTCAAGAATGGCATGATTGTAGACACAAGCGACTTCATTTCAATAGCAGCGGTAGGAAACCAAACCCAGCTTACCTTGAATAAGTTCATCCCATTCTACATTGGCGTTTACCACGTCGTAGTTGACGGTGTTGGGAGCAGGCCAGCAAAAATATCAGCCAACATTGCGCCAGTATTTCATGACAAGTGAGTGTTCCTTCTTTTTTCCACCACATAACAGCTATCTTATTCAATGCGTATTGAATAGCTAACGATACCTAGTTTCAGACTTCCTGCCACAATTATCCATTCAACTGGAAAACCTTTGGATATACGTTTAACCTACACTGCGGTTCCAACTCCAGAAGTGAAATTACTTCACCAAGGAAAACCCATGATTCTTGAAGCTGACATTGACCAATATGAAGACAGTGTTTCCATAAGGATCAAGAACATAAAAAAACGAGACCAAGGCAATATATCAATTTGTCTCGCTAACTGCTTCGGTCGTGCAGTCTCATCATTCGAGCTGAAACTGGTCGACACTCCGCTGTCACCGAGGAACGCTCGCGCTGTGAGACTAACCGCCACGTCACTTACTCTTCAATGGGATTCCCCAGAACAAGGTGATTGTGACGTAAAACAGTACACTGTTGAGAGGAGAATAACGGAAAGTGGAAGATGGAGAAAAATGGGGAAAACATCAGAGAAGGAATACACATGCAATGAGTTAATTCCGAAAGAGTTCTATGCGTTTAGAATAATTGCCTCAAACTCATTTGGTGATGGATTACCAAGCGAAGTCGTGGAAGTTCACATGCCTGAAGAAGATGACGAAACTTCTCAAAGACTCGCATCACAAACAGAACAAGAAATAGAAGTTGAAGTCTCAGAAGATGGAGTTGACGCGGAAAGAGTTAAGACAAAAGAGGAAGATAAACCACAAGACGAAACGAAAGAAGAGAACAAAGAGAAGGAAAAAAGGAAGCTTGTGACAAAGAAGAAACAGAAGGCCAAGCCCGAAGAAGAAGTGAAAACAGAAGAGAAAGAAAAACCAAAAGAAGAGGTCGTGCTTAAGAAGAAAGAGGAGCTCAAAGAAGAAACCAAGACTGAAGAAGTGAAAACAGAAGAGAAAGAAAAACCAAAAGAGGAGGCCGTGCCGAAGAAGAAAGAGAAGGCGAAGCCTGATGAAGTGAAACCAGAAGAGAAAGAAAAACCAAAAGAGGAAGCCGTGCCGAAGAAGAAAGAGAAGGCGAAGCCTGAAGAAGTGAAACCAGAAGAGAAAGAAAAACCAAAAGAAGAGGTCGTGCTTAAGAAGAAAGAGGAGCTCAAAGAAGAAGCCAAGACTGATGAAGTGAAACCAGAAGAGAAAGAAAAACCAAAAGAGGAGGCTGTGCCTAAGAAGAAAGAGAAGGAGAAGCCTGATGAAGTGAAACCAGAAGAGAAAGAAAAACCAAAAGAGGAGGCCGTGCCGAAGAAAAAAGAGAAGGCGAAGCCTGATGAAGTGAAACCAGAAGAGAAAGAAAAACCAAAAGAGGAGGCTGTGCCTAAGAAGAAAGA